AAAGGAACTTACAGGCTTATTCATCACTTGTCTTACCCAGATGGTGCATATTTGAATGATGAGGTTGATGCCTCCACAATTTCAGTGTCGTACACTTCTGTTGGAGATGCTTTGAAATGGGTGACACAGTGTGGTCAGGGTGTGCTCATGGCTAGAGATGACATTGAGGCAGCATTTAGGCAGAATTTAGGCTTTTGCCTATTCATCTTGATTTTTTTTTTTGGATCCTTAGGATTCCAATTTGAAGGCAAGTTATACTTTGACAAGTAAATGCCTATGGGCTGTTCTGCTTCTTGTTTTTATTTTGAGAATTTTGCTTGTTTTTCTTAAGCAAGTTTCAGGATTACAAACAACCACTCATTATCTGGATGATTTTCTTTTCATAGGTAAAGCAGGATCCTCTGAGTGCATTCATTTGTTACAGTGTTTTATGCTTATTGTTCAACAATTTGGAATTCCCTTGGCTGGGGAAAAGGCTGTATGGCCCACTATCTGCTTATAGATTTTAGACATTATCACTGATGTTCTAAAACTTGATGGGTAGCTGCTGGGTGGCCTCAGACATGGGTTGAGAAGGGATGGACCAGGATGATAATTATTTTGGAACTATTTCCAATAATTGCTGCACTGAAGTTATGAGGTGCTGAATTAGCTAATAAAAGAATTACATTCCACTATGACAATATGGAGGTTGTTTTGGTAATCAATTCCCGTCAAGCAAAATCCTCCCTAGTGATTCATTTACTAAGGAAACTATTTTTACTTTGCCTGGTAAAAGACATATGGGTAAAAGCTAAGCATATACGTAAGTGGGTAAACTAATTGTATTGCTGACGTCTTGTCCTGGTGTGATTTTAAACTTTTCAGGTTCCCTGCACCGTTAGTGAACAAATGTGGAACTAACTTTGCCCAGATAAGTCATTTATTTGGTTTATCTTTATCACCAATCACATGGAAAGCATATTTAAAAGCTTGGAATGAGTGGCATAATCTTATGGTAAAACTTAATAAGGATTCTACTGAACCTAGTTTGCAGGATGCAATTCAGTTTATTAATAAAATGAATTCCAGGTATCGAGGTTTTCCTTAAATAGGTAATTGTTCTGTATTTCATTCGTCCTGAAGGCATTAGGTAAAAAAACAAAACAGTTTTTAAAGAATTTGTCATTCAGCAAATGCTAAAAGGAACTTGGATCAAAGAGTTGGCTATTCAGGACAATAGATTGGGTGATGTGGTCAAAAAATTGGGTCTAGTTTGTAAAGATTCTTTTGAGATCCAGCTTTTTACCACCACTTTTGTTTTAACCTTCTTCGGTGCCTTTAGGATGAGTGAATTAGCAACTGTTAACAATTTTTTTCATTCTGGTATACAGTTTAATGATTTGCATTTTTATAATGAAATTCTAATAAAAATATTATTACAAAAATCAAAAACAGATCAGCATGGGAGAAGTCAATGGGTTCATTGAAAGCCATCAATCATCCGTCACTATATCCCATTAGGGTAGTTAAAGGTTTTCTAAATATTCTCCCCAGGGTACAGGCTAGTTTATTGTTACACAGTTTAGGAATCCCTCTTTCTAAACTTCAATTTCATAAGGTTCTCCAACTAGCATAGAAACATGCCAAAGTGCCAAATTTCAGAAGTGCCAAACTGAACCAAATTGCCGAAGTGCTGAATTTCGGAAGTCCCGAAGTGCTTTGGATTTCTGAAAAGTGGCAAAGTGGCAAAATTAAGGGAATGATGACAGGAATCCAACCCAAACTCTAACCCTAATCCTTACCCCAACTTTCCTCTAACCCTAACCCTACCCCTAACCCTATGCCTATATCTACCCCAACCCTAACCCCAACATTCCTCTAACTCTAACCCTACCCCTAACCTTACCACTAACCCTTACCCCAACCTTCCTCTAACCTTAACCCTACTCCTAACCCTCCCCTACACCTACCCCTAAACCTAACCCTGCCCCTAATCCTACTCCTAACACTAGAAGGGTGATTCTTTGTTTAAGTAATTTACATATGCACACCCAGAATCCTTTGTGGTAGTAACATCACTGCATATTTGTGATTTCTGTGGGGAAAGCAAGTCTTATGGTTTGACTGGTGGGCAGATTTTTGTTTAACATTGTATTAACTATATATATGTGTGCGTGTGTTTTTGTGTCTGTTATATATTGTGTTTGATTCTAACACCTGCAGTGCACAAGCTACTGTAGAAAAAAATGCTGAAAAACGTAATGCTAGTCAGAACACAAAGGACATTGCAATTTGCTGCGTATGGGTCTGCGTAGCTGCAGACCATTTAGAATGCCCATAATGCCCCCTGTCTTCCACTGAAAGTGCCTTCAATGGGGACGTGAGCAGTGGTGGTCTACTGAGCGATGGACAAAGGTTGCCTGTTCCGATGAACCATGTTTTCTTTTAGATCAGATGGATGGCCACGTTCATGTACATTGTTTACCTGGGGGAGAGATGGTAGCAGGATGCATTTTGGCAAGAAGGCAGGCTGGCGGCAATTCTGCTACGAAATCTTGGGTCCTGGCATTCAGAGATTGTTGCATACCACATACATTCCTTTATAGCAATGGTGTTCCCTGATGGCAGTGACCTCTTTTTGCATGATAATGCACCCTGACACTCTGCAAAACCTTTTTCAGGAGTAGTTTGAGGAACATGACAAAGTTCTAGGTGTTGTTTGGCCTCCACATACCTCCACTATCAATATGACTAAGCATCTGTGGGATGTGCTGGAACAACAAATCTGATCCACCTCACAATTTGCAGGACTTAAAATTAAAATCGGTTGCTAATCTTTTGGTATCAGATACCACAGGACATGTTCAGAGGCAGGGCCGGACTGGTCCACATGGATAACGGGAAATTTCCCGGTGGCCTGCGGCATGTGGGGCCAGGCAGTGCAGTACAATATATAAAACCACCATAAAATTATTTTTTTCAGTGTGTTGGGGGGCTAGTGCACCTAACTGGATGCCTGCACTGAGGCTGTCAGCAGCTGATACATTGGCAAAGTCTGCAGCCTGCTAGCAGCAGGGAGGAGTGAGAGCACTGTAGTTTTCTGCTCGGCATGGCCACAGAAGCCCACCCCCAGACTGGAGCTCTGCCCTCAGTCTCAACAAGCCTCAACCTTTCACACAGGAAGAGATAACCTCATGCTGCCCTGCAAGTCTCCACTGTCAGTAATAGGTACTTGTAGATTTGCTTAGTGATTGTGTGTGTGTGTGTGTGTGTGTATATGTGTCACGGCTTACCTTGGCTGGGAGTCTGTAGCGCAGATATATGCTCACCCTTGCAATTAAACACAGACCAAGGTGGTCAGGTAAGAACTCACCTGGCCTGTGAGTCTGTGCACGGGGCTGTGCAGGTTAATGCTCCAAGTCGCAGTACAGATAGGACATAAACAGGAGAATAGTCGTGGGTAAGCCAGAGGTCGGTGGGTGCCAGAAATCAGGATAAACGAGTAGAGAGCCGAGGTCAGAGGATGCCAGAAGTCAGGATACACAAAATAACAAGCCATGGTCAGGAATCAAGAGGAGAACACAAAACAGCAATACGGGAAACAGAGTCGGGGAGAGGCAGTGTCTTATACCTGGCTAATTGGTCATCAGCTTCAGGTGTGCTGAGAATATTGGAGCAATATTGGATACAAGGCAAGATCAGACTCTGTGTTCTACTTGAGCTGTAAGGTGGCTCAGAAGAGAAACAACAGGCCCAGGACTGCAAAGTACCCAGGTTCAAATCTCTTGCACTTCTGGGGTGACCTCATCTGGATGTCACGGTGAGAACTGTAGCAATATGTGTGTGAGTAAGCTTGTAGGTGTCATTGATTTGGGCACTTCTGGGGCAACCTCTGGATGTCACAGTGAGAACTGTGACAATATGTGTGTGAGTAAGCTTGTCAGTAGTGAGCTTGTGGGTGTCAGTGAGGTTTGCTGTAGGTAGCTTTTGTGTGTGTATGCATGTCTGTGAGCTTGTATGTGTGTCAGTTATCTTTGTGTGTATATGTCTGCAGTGAGTTTGTGTGTGTCAGTGATCTTAACACAATTAAACAAGTAAAAAATGGCGCTATCAATAAACATTTTAAAAAATAAGAGCAGCACCTAAACAGTGTAAAAGCCCAAAATTCAAACACTCTTTAAAACACAAACATTTTTTTCCAGTGATCTTGTTTGTGTGTATGTGTCAGTGATTTTGTCTGTAGTGAGTTTGTGTGTGTGTGTGTGTGTCACTGATCATGTGTGTGTCAGTGAGCTTGTCTGTAGTGAGCTTGTGGGTGTCAGTGAACTTGTCTGTAGTGAGCTTGTAGTCTGTCTTACCAGGTTCACTTTAACGTACAACTATCAAGGCACTAAATAGTATTTATCATAGTGATATAGATAATATTTATGTGCTTTGGGGCTGTTACATTGCTACTTACCTGCAGTCCCTCACTCCTGACAATCCATGGATGATAAAATGCTGTAACATTCCCCCTCCAGGCCACCACCTGTCTGTTATTATTGTTTATATATATATATATTGTAGTGAGCTTGTGTGTGCTTGTATGAGTGAGCATGTCAGTAGAGAGATTGTGTGTGCTTGTCTGTTGTGAGCTTATGTGTGTTTGTGTGAGTGAGCTTATCTGTAGTGATCTTCTATATATTTGGATTAGTGAGCTTGTGTGTGTGTGTGTGTCAGTGAGCTTGTGTGTGTCAGTAGTGAGCTTGTATGTGTTTTTAAATTAGTTTGTCTGTAGTAGGCTTGTGTGTATCAGAGTTTGTGCGTCAATGAGCTTGTCTGTAGTGAGTGTGTGTTTGTATGTAGTGAACTTGTGTGTGACAGAGCTCATGTGTAGTGAGCTTGTGTGTGTGTCATTGAGTTTGCCTCTAATAAGATTGTGTGTGTTGGTGAGCTTGTCTGTTTTGAGCTTGTAAGTATTTATCAATGGGTTTGTCTATATTAAGCTTGAGTGTGTCAGTGGGCTTGTCTGTTGTGAGCTTTTGTGTAGTGAGCTTGTTTGTGTGAATGAGCTGGTCTGTAGAGAAGTTTTGTGTATGTGTCAATGAGCTTGTGTGGGTCTGAGAGCTTCTGTGTGTTTCATTGAGTTTGTCTGTAGTCAAATTGTGTGTCAGATAGCTTGTCTGCAGTACATTTGTGGGTGTGTGTCAGTGAGCTTTTCTGTTTTGTGCCATGGAGTTTGTGTGATTTATTCAAGTTGAGCATGTATACTGATGTTGATTTGAGAATGGAGGATTGCCCTGCTTAGAGAAGTGTCCCTAAGCAGGCCCAATAACAACAGACAGGGGCAGTCTGGAGGCTATGTGTTACAGTACTGTAGCACTCATGGATTGTCTGGAGCGACGGGCTGCAGTTAAAGGGATTCTCCAGTGCCAGGAAAACATATTTTTTCCTGGCACTGCAGGATCCTGGAGTGCCAATCTCCCACCCCCCATCCCAAGTTGCTGAAGGGGTTAAAACACTTTCAGTGACTTACCGGAGTCCAGCGCTGATGTCCCTCAGTACTGGGTCAGGCTCCACCTACTATTCTCTCCTGCTGACGTCAGCCGGCGGGGAAGACCTAATGCGCACGCGCATTAGACCTCCCCATAGGAAAGCATTATTCAATGCTTTCCTATGGAGATTTCAGCGACGCTGGATGTCCTCACACTATGAACACGGAAGTCCCTCTAGTAGACAGCCACTAGAGGAGGACTTAATCCTGCAAGGTAAATATTGCAGTTTATGAAAACTGCAATAATTACACTTGCAGGGTTAAGGGTAGTGGGAGTTGGCACCCAGACCACTCCAATGGGCAGAAGGGGTCTGGGTGCCTGGAGTATCGCTTTAAGTAACAATAAAACAGATGCCAATGCACATAAATATATAATTTATCACTATTAATCATATATTTAGTGCCTTAGGAGACACCCACTGACTGACGCACCCACACCTGTTGACTGTTGACTGACACATCCACTGACTGACACACACGCATGCGCACACACACTATGTGTGGGGCTGGAAACAATTTATTACTTGGGCTGCTTTGTATTCCTAGTCCGGCCCTGTTCAGAGGTCTTGTGGGGAACATGCTTTGACTCATCAGAGCTGTTTTGGCAGCATGAGAGGGACCAACATGATATTAGGCAGGTGGTTTTAATGTTGTGGCTGATCAGTATATGTTTTATTTAAAAACAAAAGAAATCTAATTATAAACCTTTATAAAAATAATGAAGAATTAATGACGTATAAGGATTCTTATACTAAAAAATAGTTTTGAGGTGACAGTTGTCCTTTAAGAGTTAGGAGGAGAGGGGTGAAATATGTTTGAACATTTTTGGTTGGGGATGTGTTCTGTTTCAGTAAATATGCAATAAATATATTATGATTAATTGCATTCTCCTTACACAGTAGAATCTGAAATTTGAATGTCTACGTTAATCACGTTTTAGTGGCTACCAGAACTAGATCTGGGTTAAGGTTTCATGTATTATATAAATTCTAATATATATAAAACAGATTCTAATTTATGTTTGCATTTTTTACAGCTATTTCCTGCTTTTCCTGTATGATCCCAACGGAATTTAAATATGTAGGATAAGAAACATTTTCAGAAATTGTTTCAGAGTTCTACAATAAGATAAAGTCAAATGGATTCAATATAGCACCAGATAAGTTTTAAAATTACATTTAAAGATTGTTCCATTTGCTTTTAAACCATCAAATGTTTAAGATAAATATAATTGCTGTATTGCAAAAATGTTTACATTTGTCAATGCTTGATACTGTAACTATTAGGTTAATACAGTGGTTCCCAAACATTTTAAGTTCAAGGCACCCTTAATATTTCAGTATTTTTCCAAGGCACCCCAAGTCAAAATTTCTAGGTTCTACATCTGTACAGCGCTGCAGCATTTACTGGCGCTATAGTGTACAGTGTTGGTGTTTGAAGGGGTGCTTGTATATAGTTATTGTGTTTTAATACAGGTGTGTGTTTGTATGTTTGCATTTGATTGCAGGGGGTGTGTCTGAATGTTCACTGTTAAATGCAGATGTACATTTGTGTGAAGTATTTGTATTTGAGTGAAGGGGTGTGTTTGTATATATTTTTTGTTGTTGTTTGAATGCAGGGGTGTGTTTGTATGTAATATTTGTGTTTGATTGCAGGAGTGCGCTTGTATGTTGTATAACCAGCTCGCACACCCTTAGGGCGGACCTGGACCAGGTTCATGGCACCCCTTACCTGGTGGCACCCGGGGCAGACCCCCCACTCTGGCCCCGCATCCCCTTAGTACGCCACTGGTCTTAAGTGTTGCTTCAGACTAAGAATGACTTACAAATAGGTAATTACATGAAGTGTTTATCTATATGACTTACAAAATAATACATGTACATTTTTATTATCAATAATACATTATTATTTTTTTTACAGTTTTCCTTTTGAGATGGCCCATGTGCAGGATATTTATTAATATTTGAGTGTGGACAAAAAATGGAAGAAAAATGATTTACGCTCTCTTAAACCATGTCTAGGAAACCACTTGATGTTAATAGGTCAGTTGCCAACAAGCAACTATTGTACATTGACAGTACAGGCAGGAAAGAAAGTTGCACTGGCACAACCTTTGCACCAAAAACAGTAAAATATAAAAAGGATGAATTAATAGAATGTCCTAATTACTCACTTGGCTGTTAAAGTAATGGCATCTTCTATCTGGGGAGTGCTGATGGATAAACTGTCCACAAACCAAAATTAAACAAGACTTCCAGTAAGCACATGGCTCATTTGCATCACACAGACTTTAGACCCTTGCCCCATCTCACGTTTCTAAACTTGCAATGAGGTGATACAGGGCAGAGGGTAGGCGTGAGTGTACAAAATCAAGGTTTGCATACATCTCCCATATTAACCTTTGGTCGATTGTAACACAAATATGTAAATATATATTATTTTTTTTTGTATGTCTGGTATAGAAAATGTTCTTACATCTGTGAATTAGTTGCAGTTTATGTGTTGCATAGACATATTACACTCTAGATACAAACATTGTTTGGATGTTTATTACCTTGCATATTTAAAAACACAATTATGGGATCAATTTGGTTTGGGAGGGAAAGGTGAGTGAAAATTTGTCTACTTTATCTTTTTGTCACAAAAATGTTTCTTGTAAATTTTATAAATGTGCTAATTTATTTTCAACTGTTTGTATTACTTTTCATAGAGATCACAGTCTCCTACTGTTCTATGTCGATTACGAGCTAATAAAAATATATTTCCAAAGAAATAAAGTGACATTTTTCTCATTATGCACTCCTATTAAGAAGATGGTTTAAGCTTGAGGATAAATAAACTAACCCAAATGACAAAACACAGTACTGTTTTTCTATTGGGCATTTTAGATATGATAATTGAGTTGTTTTTTTTTACTCATACATTGACATTACATCAGTGTAATATTTAATGTAATAAGTGTAATATTTACCTTTAAATATTTATTTTTGTGTGTGTGTTAGTATTTATACTGACAATAAAGTTAGCATTTGGAGTACAATTTAAGTTATATTATGGCCATACTGTATACACTGATCAGCCACAACATTAAAACCACCCTCCTTGTAACGTATACAGTAGGTCCCACTCCTGCTGCCAACACAGCTCTGATGCATCAAGTCGTGGACTCCACAAAACATCTGAACGTGGCCTGTTGAGAGCCTCTCACAGATGCTCGAGAGGATTGAGATCTAGAGGACTTGGAGGCCAAGGTAACACCTTGAAAACTTTGTCATGTTCCTTAAACCAATCACGAACAATGTTTGCAGTGTGGCAGAGTGCATTATCCTGCTGATAGAGGCCACTGCTATCAGGAACACCATTGCCATAAAGAGGTGTATGTAGTCTGCAACAATCTCTAGGTAGGTAGTATGTGTCAAAGTAACATCAACATGAATGCCAGGAATCAAGGATCACCTGCAGTGCATTTCTCAGAGCATTATATTGCATCTGTCAGCCTTCCTTCTTCACACAGTGCATGCTGCTGCCCTCTCTTCCCCAAGGAAATGATGTACATTCATGCAGCCCCCCACCTGATCTAAAAGAACATGTGATTTAATGCCATCGAACCAGGCAACTGTATTCCATTGCTCCATGGTCCAGTTCTGATGCTCAAGTCCCCACTGAAGGCGCTTTCAGTGGTGGACAGGGGTCATCATGGCTGCTCTGACGAGTTTATGGATATGCAGCCCCATATACTGCAAACTGCAATGCACCGTGTGTTCTGACACCTTTCTTTCAAAGCACATTTGCTCCCTCAGTACATCAATGAGCTTGGGAACCTATGACTCAGATGCCTGCTCACCAGTTTTCCTTCCTTTGCACCACTTTTGGTAGGTATTAACCACTGCATACTGGAAACACCCCACAAGACTTGCAATTTTGGATATTCTCTGACCCAGTCATCTATCCATCACTATTTGATTCCTTGTCAAAGTGACTCAGATCTTTTTGATTGCCCATATTTTCTGCTTCCAACACATGAAATAAAAGAACAAACTATTCACTTGCTGTTTAATATTATGCCTCCCCTTGACAGGTGCCATTGCGACAATATAATCAATTTTATTCAGTTCATACTTCTTTAGAACAGGTGCCCAAAATTGCACAGCTTATTCAATATGGGGTCTTACCAGTGATTTATAAAGAGGCAAAATTATATTCTTGTCTCGAGAATGAATGCCCTTTTTCATGCATGACAATACCTTACTGGCCTTGGCCACTGCTGATTGACATTGCACATTGTTGCATAGTTTGTTGTCTATAACAATTCCCAAGTCCTTTTCATGTGTTGTTATCCCCAATTCGCTTCCATTAAGGGTATACGTTGCTTGTGTATTCTTTATGCCGAAGTGCATAACTTTGCATTTTTCAACATTAAATTTCATCTGCCATTTGAGTGCCCAATCCCCCAGTCTATTTAAATCCCTCTGCAGCAAAGTAATATCTTGCTCACATTGTATTGTTTTACAAAGTTTGGTGTCATCTGCAAACACTGAAACATGTATGTGAATGTATGTGAATTCAGATTACAGGGTGTAATTGTTGTGTGTGAATACATTTTGCATTGGCACAGAACATTCACACCCTGCACTCTGTATTGTAAAGTTTGTGGATCAAAAAGAGGGAAAAACTACTTTTATCAACAGCAGTATCTCTGTTGGCTATTTTCTTGAGGCGGGCTCTCACCCTTCAGATGCAGCTGAGTGTAAATGTGTGTTTGTACACTCCCTATAGGTTTTTTTGTTATACGTTTAAGTCTGTAAATTGATACTGTAGGCATCAAAACAATCCTGGCTTAATGAAGCTGTTTTGGTGAGTAGATCATGCCCCTACCAGTCTTTGCAGAGTATTTGGAGTTGTAGTTCAATGTGCAATTCCATGTACCAGATCATCCCACATGCATTCACACGCAACATGTAAAATTGTGTCTAGCACTGCCATTACTGGAAATGTTGTTATATAGTATGTGAAAATTTTGAACAGTGACCTCAACAATTTCAAACAAGTATAATTGCTCCATAAAATTTATGAATGTATTACATTTTGTTTTATGTTTTATTGCATCTGCTTTTATTTATTCAATGTTCCCGTGTTTCAAAATGTCATATGCTTTGTTTTGCACATTTTATCACTTGTTTATTTTTGGTATTTTCAGACATTTCAAATTGAGTAAACTACTTGACATTGCAGAATGTGCGTTGGTTTCATATATTCATTGATTACTTGAGTAACAGAAACAAACTGCAGATGGTGGCCTTACAAGAACCTGGTTTGGGAACTACATCTGCATTCAGGATAGTCATGCCATATATTTTTTAAAGCTATGACAATTAATTTCTTATACATGCTTTCTATTATTCTTTCAGCTCTTGCTTTTATTTTTCAATGTCACTAACTATGCATTTCTTTTTTTTTTTTTTGCACCACTTATCCGTATTAGTCACTTTGCTGTCCTCACTGTACAGGAAATCATCAGATTGTGTGACTGGTATAATCATCATCATCCCCCATTTCTGCCCATGCAAGAATTTGTAACTTCTTCACTACCGAATGACCTGTTAAATAATCGCCACCATGATCCAGGTTTTGTGTTCTGGAAAATGATATGTACATGTACTTTTCATTTCAGCATGGACACATAGTATATTGTTTAATTGGAAAAAAAAAGTAATAATTTCATTAACGGCAGATAAACATCTAAAAATCATTTATTTAATAGACATAAGATATAAAAATACTATTTTAAACATGTGTCTCAACATTTTTACATTTTGCTGGACTTGCAAACTATAATATTACTAATTTCCTTTCAAATGCTGTTATCATGTCACATATATTATCATATGTCCCCTTCAGTGTCACTTGTATAATATTGTCTTCTCTCTCTCTTTCGCTCTTTCTATATATATATATATATATATATATATATATATATATATATATATATTTAATGCTTACATGGATAAAAGATCAACATTTCAGTCTGCCCCAGCAGACTTTCATCAGGAAAACATGCAATACCAACAGAGCCCAAATATAAACAAAAGTTCACAAATTACATTAAATCACCCCATCAGCGTGTACACTGTCCCAAGGACGCCTGGACCGGACTGCACGCACGACACGGTCATCACGTGATTACCAGCGTCCACAGCTCTGGTGGACATTCCTGCAGTCAGCATGCCAATTGCATGCGCCCTCAAAACTTGCAACATCTGTGGCATTCTGCTTTGTGATAAAACTGCACATTTTAGAGTGGCCTTTTATTGTGGCCAGCCTAAGACACACCTGTGCAATAATCATGCTGTCTAATCAGCATCTTGATATGCCACACCTTTGAGGTGTATGGATTATCCCAGCAAAGGTGAAGTGCTCACTAACACAGATTTAGACAGATTTGTGAACAATATTTTGGGGAAATAGGCCTTTTGTGTACATAGACAAAGTCTTTGATCTTTGAGTTCAGCTGATGAAAAATGGGGGCAAAATTGGGGACTATGGGTAGTATTGTTGAATTTGTATAGTATTGGTGGCACTATTGTGTGATGTCTATGTATTATTAGGCTGTTTAAATATTTTTTTAATGATGAAGGGATTGTATTTCTTAAGTACGATAGGTACTATGATATTAGATATAGACTGCCAAAGCTTACACTGAGAGTAAATGTTTATATAGTTACTTGTTTTATTAATTGCTGCTGTATTTCTGATCAGAGGCCAATTGTGTTTAATTGTCCTTGTATGTATATTGTTCAGTGATAATAAAGTTGACTCTGAATCTGAAAAAAGTGATATTGAAGCCATAGCTGTTGATAAGACTAACCAAGTTAAGAAGCATAACTGGAGAAGAGTAGAGGACCCAAGAGAGATTTGAAGTACTCGAAGAGGAAAAGTCACTAACAAATGACACAAAAAAGAACCTGTTATGAAGAGAATAGTAGATCAAATAGAGATAGAGAAGGATATTATGACACCAGAAAAAGTGCAGAGGCGGGCTACAAAAATAATAAAAGGAATGGAACATATCAGCTATGAAGAAAGGTTAACAAATTTAAACCTATTTATTTTAGAAAAACATCGCCTGAGAGGGGATATGATAACATTATACAAATATATTCATGGCCAATACAAACCATTGTGTGGAAATCTATTCACAAACCGGACTTTACATAGGACACGAGGTCATGCGTTTAGACTGGAAGAAAGAAGATTTCGTCCAAGGCAAAGGAAAGGTTTTTTTACTGTAAGAACAATAAGGATGTGGATTCTCTGCCTGAAGAAGTGGTTTTATCAGAATCCATACAAATGTTCAAACAGCTACTAGATGCATACTTGCAAAAACAGAATATTAAAGGATATAATCTTTCAATGTAGAGCAATAACTGCTTGATCCAAGGATAAATCTGTCTGCCATTCTGTGGTCAAGAAGGAATTTTTTTCCTAGCTTGTTGCAAAATTATGCTTCAAACTGGGTTTTTTGCCTTCTTTTGGATCAACAGCAAAAATCAAATGTGAGGTAGGCTGAACTTGATGGACGCAAGTCTCTTTTCAGCTATGTAACTATGTAACTATGTAACTATGTAACATTAATCACACCCTTCATTCTCCAAGTATACTCTGTATTTTGTAACACAGTATTCTCAGAAGGAAGGATAAATTAAAGGTTAGCTCTAAAAAAGCAAAAACTGTTCAGGTTTTTATTTAATTGTGCTGTCTTCATGGGTTATAATCTGTTTTTAATGGGTCAGTCTTATGGGTCAGGATCATCAGTTATTTCAATATGTTCAAATCACCTGACGCTGTAACTCAGCTTAGCATCAGAGATTGGAACATTGTTCCTTTTAATTCTTCAGCCAATAGTGCCTCTAATCACTGATTATACTTTTTGTAAGAAACCCACTCAATTTAAAAAAATGCGAACATGATGAGTTTTATATACTCGAATTAAACCTTTGAAAGCTTAGCTTATATTAAAGATTTCAGATTACCTATGTCACTGGTAGTACTTTTTAATGTACTACATGGGGCCCTTTGAAATTACAAGAAGGGATATCCATACAAGCATGGTTAAAGAGCCCAGTGTTTGCCTTAATGAAGTCCAAAATACTCAGTGAATTCCCCATTATCATTGCAGCTTTTACACGATCAGGGCTTAGTCAAAATGAGAACACTCCGGGATATTCATGCAATTGCAGGATTTCTGTCTAACTTTAGGAGGATCCAGACTATTCAAAAATATATCATGATTTGCTAGGATACTACTAGACTCTCCAAGGTATTTAAAATATTCAGCCCCAACATAACATGATATGCAAAGTGTGGAGGGACTTACTATCTTTTCATGGTCAGAAAATCAGGAAACACAAGACCTCGGACACAAAACAATGATCAGAGATTTAAAAAAAGTTGCAATATGGTTTCAATAGTGTTTATCATCATTCAGTATATTTCTTTCTATGCATAGCAACGTTATAGCTAAAAGGGATTCTATAGTGCCAGGAAAACAAAGCTGGGGAGGAAGGGGGGACGCGCTCCGTCGCGTCCCCCCTTCCGCCTTATATAAATATTAAATGCCACATTATCAGTTTTTTTTTTCCTGTTTGGGAGGGTAATAAAAAGTTTGCAGGCTGCCCTAGAAAATATATTACGCCACTGGACCAGATCCTGGTATCTTGTTGTTGTTGGCAAATCAAACAAAACTTACTTTATTCTATATGCCTTATAGCAAATTAGTGACACAGCAGATCTGATTTGAAATAAGTACCCAAAAAGAAAAAATGAGAGACAAAAATGGACTATGTGAGTGATGACATTTCATACTTTGTAAAAAGATTCATTATTTTACTAGCGTTACGCTTCTCCCGTTTGATGTATATTCTGTATCAGAAGAAAAATATAGCTGAATATTTGACATACTCTATCGATCATGCAAAATTAATTCTGTGCCTTTTTAGTCTGATTAAGATAAAACAGCTGCTGATCCTTAAGAAAGCAAGTAACTGTGGATCCAGAACAAAATGCTTTAGTATACAGCTGGAAACAGACACTGTGGACACAGTGATAATAGTGACAGTGCAGAGTTACAGTGATAAATGGGGTGACTTGTAATGTAAACTGATTGCGAAAAAACTGTGTCTGCTGTTACAATGTTATATTAGAGCAGAACAGCTATTTAGTCTGCAGGCCGTAAGGACATGAATAGAAGCAAATTAATTTTGGGTGATGTAATTTTCTCCTCTGCAGTATGTTTGACATTGTACTTCACAGAAGCTATTCATGAAATAATTGCTGAGGTTGCAAAGTTTCTTGTGAAGAAGGGAAAAATGTCACAATAACCTCTACTTATTTGTAATATTTTACCAGAAGAACATCTTTGAAATAATAACTGAGATATTATATATATATATATATATATATATATATATATATATATATAGGGAGGGAGAGATAGCAGGAGAGAGGGAGAGATAGAGAGAGAAAAAACATTGTATTCACCCCACAAACATCTGTGTATATCGTAAATTGCACCAACAGTTTAACTCGCTTCCTGGTTGGTTGCTATGGCAGCAAAATGCTGCTGACATTTCCAGCTAAACAACAAACATTAAAAAAAAAAAAATTACTTTCCTGACAGACTGAAACATTGTAGTACATAAACAAATATATATATATATATATATATATATATATATAGAGAGAGAGAGAGAGATATGAAACCAAGAGGGATGCACTCACCTGAACATGAGTACATTGACGTTGTTGAAGGCTTATGTAATATATGATCATTTAATGTAACTAAACCCCCATTATTTTTTACCCATGTGAGGTGTTTTTAAATAAAACTTACAATCTGTGAGATTTGAAGTCATTGTTTAGTGAATAAGCGAGTGCGCTGGATTGTGTATTTTGTATTTTGTATGTTATATATATATATATATATATATATATATATTATTTATTTATAAAATATTTTACCAGGAAAGATACATTGAGATTTCTCTCGTTTTCAAGTATGTCCTGGGTCCACAAATCATTGCATTGTTACATTTGGTACAACAAAATACAAAAACAATATTAATACACAATATATACAAAATTTAACATAGAACAGGCAGGAAATATATAATCAACCATGACACGTGCATTCTGTTTTGAGGTATGTAGAGAGGGATCTCTTAAATGACTTTAGGCTTAGGGAAGATTTTAAATTGTGCGGGAGGTCGTTCCACAATTGCGGCGCTCTGTAGGAGAAGGAGGATCGGGCCGCTTTCTTTTTGTATTGAGGTAGACTAAGTAAAGTGCTTGTACTGGATCGGAGCTTATAGAAAGTGGGAACAGCTAAGGAAAGCATTTTGTTCAGGTAGGGTGGGAGTTTCCCAGAGAAGCTCTTAAAAACAAGGCTGGAAAGATGAAGGGTGCGTCTGGATTCCAGCGACAGCCAGTTTAGTTCCTTTAGCATGTCACAATGATGGGTCCTGTAATTACATTGTAGCACAAATCGGCAGAACGAGTTATACAATGTGTTGAGTTTATTAATGTGGGATTGCGATGCAGACGCATATACTACATCCCCATAATCAATGATTGGCATCAGCATTTGCTGTACAATCTTTTCCTTTACTGTAGGGCTTAGGCAGGCTTTGTTTCTGTACAGGGCACCTAATTTTGGATAAAGTTTAGATGCAAGCTTTTCTATGTGCAGGCCAAAAGATAGATTGGGGTCTAATATCATACCCAAGTATTTGAAAGAGTGGACTGCGGTCAGTGTGCCATTTGAATTTGTTTTGATGGATAGGTGGGGATTGTGTAATTTGTGCAATTTAGGTACTGTTCCAAAGATCATTGTGACAGTTTTGTCAGTGTTCAGGAAGAGTTTGTTTTTTGCGATCCACTTTTCTACCTCTGTAAACTGGTCTTGGAGCAAAGCCTCAAGTTGCGGTAGATTGGGTTTGCTCGCATAGATTACCGTGTCATCTGCGTACATGTGTACATTTGAGGATTGGCAGACATAAGGCAGATCATTTATAAATAATGTAAATAGTAGGGGGCCGAGAATGGAACCCTGGGGAACACCACACGTGACCGGAGAGGGAGGGAGTCACTGTCAGAAATGGACACATATTGCGAGCGATCCGATACATACGATCGAAACCAGTTTAAAGAATGATCACCAATACCTGAGTTTTCGAGTTTGTGCAGTAGAATGTCGTGGTCTACTGTGTCAAAGGCCTTAGCAAAATCAAGGAAAATAGCTCCAGTTAGGGCTCCTTGTTCCATGCCAGTTTGGATGTCATTGCAAACTTTTAGGAGGGCAGTTGTAGTGGAGTGATTCTGGCAAAAGCCCGATTGATCAGGGGTCAGATAGTTTAATTGTTGGTAGTACTCACAAAGTTGCGTATGGACACATTTTTCTAAGATTTTTGACAATACCGGGAGCAATGATATTGGGCGATAGTTAGAAACCAAAGTAGTGTCACCACTTTTATGGATAGGCACTACTCTCGCAGTCTTCCAAAGTTTGGGTATGTATCCAGACACCAAGGATTCGTTAATTAGAGTTGAGATGGGTTTAGCAATTGCCGGCGCACTGAGCTTCAACAGCATTGCTGGGATTTGATCAAGTCCGGACTGGTTTTTAATTTTTAGATTATTAAGATGTTTTTTAATTACACTAACAGGTACAGGTCTAAAATTAAACTTATCTATATATATATATATATATATATATACACATACATACATAGACAGAGACATACACAAACTCATTCAAATCTTGTCCTGAGGAAAATTGTAATTTTAAACTGAAATGTTGACAAAATAATAGTTGATTTCTTATTCTAGAAGTTATTATCGCTATGCTGACTGCCAAATGACAGTTTCCAACAATACATTACAAGGAGCTTAGATGGAAACACCCAGTTGCAGAATAAGATTTATGAATTTCTACTTTACATTTTATCTATCACACCTCAAAAATGCATACTTGTTAAATATAGGTACATTGAATATTAATACTATTTTAGTGTAGATAGGATTTCACTTCAAACTCTGCCCACAGGTGGGGCTCGAGTGCTAAAGGTGACCTGTGTGATGGCAGTAGTCTTTGCTGGCCACATGACACAACAATCATCGTTGGACCAAGCAGAAGGAGGAACCCAGTAAATAGATATGAACACAAAACAATAACATTGGTAATTACTCCATTCTACACATTGTATTACAAAGTATGATGGCTTAGTGAAATTGAATAATGGAGAATATTTTATAGAAATATAGAATATCACTCTAAAAAAGATTTTTAACAGTGTATATAATATATAATGATACATTATATATTATATATACCGAAAGAGAATGATAGATTTACTTATAAATCAGTGCTCCTCCATGTGGGATAATGCCACATTTTAAATAAAGAAATGTAAAAATTTTTTTTCAAAAATAACTTTAATATGTTGACTAAGACATTAGCCTTCTTCCCCAGTGCGAATTTCTATTGCACTCTGTTCTCTTTGTTCTGACGCTAGGATTGGCGGTGTTAATTCCCTGTCACAATTGCCCATGATGGCCTGTAATTTGAACCAGACGATTTGGGTGATATTTACTCAGCCTGTTCCTGTGTTGGTATGCTTCCTTTATTCTGTACATTATCCTGTGTTTTCTAAAACAAACAATCAAATAAAAGGATGGACATGAAGAGTTGAAAGACAAAGATAAAAAGAAGCAGACAGAAACAAGACAATGATAAAACATACATTAATCAAACTCAATCAGTATGTACTAAAAAAAAACATGAATTCTCTTGTAACTTTTTAAACACTGAATGCACAATTAGCTGAACTCACTTGTAAGTGTTAATAATAAATGTAAAAATATAAAATCAGGAAAAGAACAAAAAAGTGAAATAATTACTTTTTTCAGTGTAGCTTACTCCTAGATTTAATGATGTGTAATACATTATATTAAAAAAATACATTATATTATATTAAAAACATATAAAATTAGGTTGGTGTGATATACAAAGATGATTGTTTATAAAAATAATTGCACAAGGCAAGGCATTGGGATGGTGATAGTCAGTCTTTTCAATAAATTGTAATTCATGGTCACACATTCATCCATCATATTTTTAATACACAATAAATAAAAAAAAATGAATGAATGAATGAAACAAAATGTATTATTTCTTAAAGAAAAAATTAATTGTAACATGATTTATTTATTTTCTAAGCAATTTTGTACAAATACCCCCAAAGAAAACAAGCATGCATTTTTTTTACTGCATGTTTTCTTTGGAGGTATATAAAAGAAACAGCTTGCAAAAGCTTCAGACCTACTGTCTGCATTCTTTGCAACCTCTCCCTTCTTTCCCAAGTAGAGACTTTCCATTTTTTTCCAAGGCAGTACACCAGTATTCCAGTGGGCTGGAGCTACAGGAACGTGCACATGGATGTGAGAGTGGCCATAACTGCCATAACTGCCATAATGCTAATTTCCCTAAATTTTGGCAGGTCCTATCCTATCAACCTAATGCCTGTTCTTATGAGATTAATCCATGGACTTAGAAAATGCATGTCCTGGGAGGACTCTCTGCAGTGGAAGGTTATGTAGGGCCCTGGAATGAGGCACCTGTGACTGGGAGGGGTGCAAACCAAAGGACTCCTAAATATATATATAAAGACCTTCTGGGTTGAAACATTGATCATCTAATTTTTTTCACAAATACATATTTGAGAAAATCCACTGAGTGCTCTCTCTTCATTTATTCTCTTTATTTATATATATATATATATATATATATATATATATATATATATATATATATATATATATATATATATATATATATATATATAAAACCATATGAAACCATATGAAACCAAGAAGGCTGCACTCACTTATAAATAAGGTATAGAGGCAGTTTTTTTATTTTAAAATTTAAAATACTGCACTATATCGGAAATAATACATTTACAATTAGCACAAGTTTAAATTCCTTCTTTAAATGAGTGCTATGTTTGCAAAAATAATTAATGACATTTACATTTGTAAGTAACACAAATAACAATTTTAATTAAAATAAAAAGATTAATTGGCAGAACAATCTGTAATCACAGAAATGTCTTTATTGCCAGAGGTTTAAGGACAAATCACTGTAGATTATTTTAACTTGGCCAGCAACCAAACTAATTAAGCTTCCACAGACAGACTAGAGCAGTTAAGGAATATGTGTCTTTCCGAAGCTGTGGAAAACTATTTACCATAATGAATGTATAATTTTTGTTCTTTTTATGTGGGTTTATGTTGCATTACTCATTTAGGTAGACTGGTAAAATGTCTAGTAGGGAATATTAACTTGCAGAATTTACCTGCCTAACCTGCCTAACCTTCCTAACTAAGGCCATGATTTAATATTTTAGATATGCGTTTCAAATTATTTCATGTTTGTGGATATTTATTGCTTTTTCCTCTCTTTGCTTGTTTTACTTAACCTCCTACTCCATATGCAAGCAGACCGCCCCTGATGGGCAGAATTAGGCTCATCGGCTACACTTCTCCCACTGACTCCCGCAAAGGGCCCTCATATGTATAGCAGGGACTGCATGGAAGAATGAGGGACCAACACGGTACAATGGGCAGAGGGATAGGGTGTTACAGGGCAGACCCAAGGGGGAGGGGCAGGACTACCATTAGACGAGAGCAAAGCACCCTTTGACGACTAGGGCACACACAGTGCCCACATATTCAGCAGAGGTACTCGGGCGATCTAGGGAACAGGGTGGGCAGATTGGAGAGGGATTGTGCCCAGGGCCCCCTCCACGGGTCGGACCGAGACAACCCCCAACATGCTCACTGATTAAAATCAGAACAGCCACCCACACGCGACTCAGACAAGTACGGAATATGGGACGGACAGGGGACCTGAGGGGGAACAATTACCGCATGGAGAGAGGACAATCAGGAAAGGCAGAAGAAATAGACGGGCAGGACAGGGAAAGACCCAGACACAGCACACCACTTCAGCGGACAACATGTATTTTAAAATACGGTAGAGACATGGGGTTCGGAACACAGACAGAGGGGAAGCCTCAGAGCCCAGGACATACTCACCGCCCCTACCATACCCATACTTATAATTTTCTATCCTTATCTATGTTTCACCTTGAATTAATTATTATATATTACTGAAACTGAGACGATACTCATTTTATAAAAATGTGGCAACTGTTTATTTTACTGTTTTGCTGCCACAATACAAATAAAGAATAAAAAAAAAAAAAACATTTGAAAAGTATATCCAAAAATATTAAATCGAGGCCTAAGATAGGAATACAAAAATTGACTGAGGCATATTACCAGTTAAGGTCTCGTTATTATGGTTGATACCTATCTAATAAATGCAGATTATATTTCCTGGAGATTCTTTTAAAAAAAAAATGTTATTATTATGAAATTAGCTCTCTTTTTTCATACTGAAATAATTTGAAACATTGTCTCTAATGGATTTTATAATGGACAGGAAAGTAGTTACTTGAAATATATACATTAATCTTGTTGTTTAATGTAGAAATCAATAGACGTGTTCTGTCTTGTCACAATCACATCAAAAACTAAAATCAATCACACTGTATATTGTAATGGGTTGAACAAATTTAGTAAAATGAAGCCTATTTATATTTATACAATCCAGGAGCAATTTATTTGCTGTTATTAGAAAAAAGAATATTCCAATACTGACATGATACAGTTATAATTAATAAAATACTAGTGAATGCATTGCTTCCTGTTCTCAGAAGACAACAGCAATGTCACTGGAGGATAGAGTCTGTGCATATAGAATGTTCCTTTAGTATAAAATAAAAAATATTTATTCTGGAAAAAATAGGATTCTCACTTACCCTCACACACATAATATAAATAAAGATATTGTCCACATTTAAAACAGAATTACACTATTATTTTGCTCTTTTCTCTTTTTTTGCATGCTACATTATGCCATCTAATTGAGTCTAGTTTATATGAGTATATGTATATTGATATTCTTTAATCTTTTTCTTTCTATGTGCTGTAGTCTATATTCTATTTACACAGAGGAACTTAAGTGTGAAGCTATTTATTATTATTATTATTATTATTATTATTATTACTATTATTATTTTCTTGAACCATTCAGTCTTTTTTTTAATATTCTCTTGGAACTTGTTTAAAGTATTTTTAAAAATAAAAAAATAAATAAAAAAAAATCACACCCATAGAATAAATGTTTTAGATTTTTTTAGTACCAGGCTACCTAAACGATAGATATCTTTCTGATCAAGTTGTAACATGATTTGTCATGTTTTGTGCTATCATTCTCTCACTAGACTGAAAGTTACGATATTACTTTAAAAAGTCTTTTAAATAAAACTTTGGAGTTTTTCAAAACTTGAAAAGTGATGCTACTACATATTCTGTTACCAATCTCTACAACTCCTTTCATTTTTAATATCTAAAACCTGACTGACACAGTTTTGTCCTCGGTGGAACAATTTTTTTAAAGGGTAAGCATTTTTTTTATTTTTTTTTATTTGACCCTGTGTGTTATAGAAAGTTTTATTCAATATTTGATCATTACTGTTAATTACTTTTTTATTATTAGTATTTTTTTTGCACTGCTTAGACATATATACTAGTGAGGAGACAACACAGCAAAATCAATATGTGAACAAAGGGTCAGTTAAGTGTGTATAGATTATCGCACACTTTTTTATTTTTTTATTACAATATAAACGGTTAGCCAAACCTATTGGTGATTGGCTGATTGTGATTTAAAGCTACGGTGTACAGTGAATAATAGGTGCACAGTATACAATATGGATTACAATATGAGCAAACCAGTTAGAGATATAAAGAGCAGATAATATCGTGGGGTAACTCATGGGGATAGGTGAAATAGCTTATTATAAGGGTCTGAGACCTAGCAGGATGATTGGCGCTGGGGGGGTGGGGTAATTGGCAGGAATGAAGGAGACAATTGGGTCTGGTCTGACCGCCTGTATAGGCTGCTTAATCATGTAATTGTAGCAATTACTTTTTAATTAGTATTTTGGTTTTCTTTTTTTTAGTAAACTTTACCTAGGCACCCAATAACAAAATAGTGGAACTTTTGCACAAGCTGAAAATCCAGAATTTCTATACAAAATGCAATAAACATTCATATGATACGAACATAAGGGCTTGATGGCGTACTCTCAAAGACATCAGGACAAAGAATACAGCTGTTTTGATTTAAGATTTTATTCCAAAGAAATTATTGCTAATTGACACATTTTATTTACATGCGTCTAATCTAGCATAGGAATAAAAAAAAAATTGTAGACAATACAGACTGCAGAAATTCCTTCTTTTATATGTGGTTTAATCTCTTTGCTTCCCAGGATGGGTGGAAATGGTATTCTATTTTTGGCTATCAACATGCAGATGGAAAATAATGTGGGAACAGTAACATTTAATTTCACACAGTATATACATCAAACCAAATTAGAGAAGAATCCACTTAATGCGTTTTATCTTATTATGATAAGTTTCACAGAATGCTGTGCTACCGAAAGTCTGTTAACCAGATGTTACCTCCAATGGTTGTATTACAAACCCCTTAGAATCTGTATGATAACCCCGCCCCACCCCCCCCCAAAAAAAAAAAATCAGTTTAATATTTGGGTACTTAATAGTATTGAGCCTGCCCCAGAGTGTCCATAACACGTATATGTCCTACTAAACAAAATGTAATAATTAGTTTTAGTTCCCCATAAGATATGTATATAGTTTCTGGAGGTAGTTTCAACCAAAATCATAATATATATATATATTGTAAACCTGGGTTTTGCATTGCGGTTCAATGGCTTGCTCATATATTGTCAATTTATGCTGACAATTGACAGGTTGACAGTGTGGGAAGGAAAATACTAAGACAGTTATTTTGAGACATGCAGATGAGATGAAACACAAAACTGATACATAGATCCAGAGACAAACATCATAAAGTTTGAGAGATGTGATGAGATGGAATGAAAAACCTGAGGCAGATCCGGTGAGAAATATAGATAATACAGACCACAAACTGATAGACATACAGACAAATGTGGATAAACATAGATTAGATACAACAAAAAATTGAAGCTAAAATATAAAATATACAATAACAAAAGAATAAGACGTATCCAGAGAAACACAAGGAGGAGGATTGTGGTTTAAGGGAGTGGCAACTCTAGGAACAATACACAGGGGGGCACTTATAATTTCCACCATTAAATCCTATTTAGTGGTCGCAGGAGTTATAGAGCATATAGTGGGTGTAGGTGAGGGATAATCGTGGGGCTGTAGTGGGTGCAAGGGATGGATAGAGGCTGTAGTGGGTGCAGTGGAGTGTTAGAAGCAGTAGTGTGTGAATGAGGCAATAGACACTGTTGTGGGTGCAAAAGGAATAAAGGGTTTAGTGTGGTGCAGGGAAGGAAGTGGGACTGTAGTGGGAGCAGGGGGCATAGGGGCTGTATTGGGTGCATCGGGATAGAGACTGTAGTGGGTGCAAAGAGTATTAGAGTCTGTAGCGGGTGCAGAATGCCAGGAATAGGGGCTATATTGGGTGGTAAAGACTGTAGTGGGAAGGGATACGGGCTATAGGGGGTAATAAGGGATTAGTGGGTACAAGGCGTAATAGTGGCTATAATGGGTGCAGGGGACAATAGGGGATGTAGTGGATGCAGAGGGAAAGTCAAATAGGGCAGTAGTGAGTGCAGGAAGTATTAGAGGCTTAGTGGGTGCAGGGAGTAAAATTAGTTTTCATGGATGCAGTGGGATAGGAGCTGTAGAGGGTGCATAGGGGCTGAAGTGGCTGCAGCAGACACAGGGGCTGTAGTGTGTATACAGGGCAGCAGGAAAAGGGGCTATAGTGTGTATACAGGGCACCCAATACAGCCTCTATCTATCCCTCCCTATCCCTCCCCGAAGACCACTACAAACCCTTTCATGACTGCACTCACTACAGCCCTTATTACCCCCTACACTCACTACAGCCTCTATACCCACTACAGCTGTTATACCCACTACAGCCTTTATACGCTGCAGCCATTAAAGCTCCGTTCACCCTCCACCCACTAAAGCCCCTAATACACCCTGCATACACTACAGTCTCTGTTACCCCTGCTCCCACTACAACCTCTAACCCTCCCCAGCACCAACTACAGTTGCTATCCCCACTGCACCCACTAAAGTCCCTATTACCCCTGTACTCACAACAGCCCCTATGCCCCCTGTATCCACTAAAAACCTTTTTACCCCTTGCACCCACATTAGCCCCTATTATCCCTGTACCAACTACAGCCACTATAACCCCTGTACCCACTACAACCCCTATTACCCACTGCATCCACTACAGTCACTATTACCCCCTGCCACAACTACAGCCCCTATTATCCCCTATAGCCCATATACTGACTATTATCCCCTATAGACCCTATCACCCCTGCACCCACTACAGCCCCTATCCTTCTGGTACCAACTACAGCCCCTATCCTTCCTCTACAACCACTAGAGCCCCTATGCCCCTGCACCAACTAAATACAGCCTGCTCCCACTAGAGCCTCTATCCACCTGCACCCACTACAGCCTCTGTTTTCCTTGCACCCATTACAGCTCCTATGCCTCCCCTACACCCACTACAGCTCCTATCCCCTCTACACCCACTAAATATGCCTGCACTCGCTAAAATGTCTAAACACACTGACTACAGCCTCTATTACTCTCTGCACTCACTACAACCTCTATCAGATTGCACCCACTTCAACCCTTATCCCCCTTCATCCACCACAACCCCTTTCATCTTGCACCTACTTAGCATCCATTATATTTGTTGGATGTTGGAGAAATGTATGTGAATATTTACAATTCCTATCTGCAGAAATATCTTCAACCAAACTACTCCTGTACCTCTTAATCATCTTGCAGTTACACACAGCAAACACTCTGAAGCAGTAAAGGTGCAGCCTGTTCAGGGAGAAAGATCTCTGGAGGGAATACAGTGGGGCAAGGCACAATGCATGGGGGACACCTGCTCCCCTGTAGTGACACCTATGGTTTAAGGAAACAGAAGGTAGAGAGGTGTAAACTTACTATTAAGATGTTACTTTTAGTTTTTATGAAGACTTTGCTTTCAGTGTATAAATAAATATAAATAAATCATTGAAAAACTAAAAAGTTTCCTGAGTTAATGAAGTACAATCTGGCAAAAAATATACACACATTTCCTCTTCCTCGAGCTTACCATCTTCAGATCCTACTTATCTTCTGCATCATCTGTTATCTACCAAGTGTGAGCTCATGTGACTACCTGAAGATCTAATCACCGATAAAGGAATTCCTTCTTTTCTTTGCACAGTAATGTATGTGGTGCACGTGATTTTTTTTTTACTTGTGTTGTTATTTTGGTTTACGTTGTGAATGGTTACTTTTATTTTAGTAGTTATGATCCTTGGAGTGTTCCTGTCAATTTAGATTGTATTTACGTAAAGATTAAACAAAAGTGCAACACACTGATACAATATATATATATATTTTTTTTCTTTATTGTTATATTTCCATACAATACAAAAAGACATACATAGAAAATTCAGAAGACAAGATATGATAAAAACTAGGTAAAGGTATATGGAAAGTTACATATTCACATATTTCTTAATTATATCTCAAGGAATCGAGTTATTATATATACATATTTTCTTTTCCCTTTTCCTTTTCTCTTGTCCTTCTTCCAGATAGACAAAAAAAAAAAGACATTGACCATGAACCATGCCGAGAGGTTCTCATTTTATCTTTACCTTTGATCACATTATTTTCTTCTTGGAATATAATAATTATACTATCGAGAATTATGTTAACCCTTCTTATCACTCATCAAAACCACATTAATAGGGCTCTTGGCCCTACATTTGAAAAAGAGGGGTATATTTAGAAGAGAAAGATGGGTCTCTATTTTACCTCATAGTTATCCGTTCTTATTTAATCAATGTTTTAGGATACGTGTATTCTTTTCCCAGCCATTTAATCTTATGAAGACTGGCCGGTAGTGACATACATTGGCCATAATTAGATTTGCAATATGACAACGTATATATGACAGCATACATAACAGGAAAAAGAAAATCCCCATTTCGTAAGATTTATTAGTCATCACCTATAATCCATTTCTCCCAGTGTTCTATTCTTGGGTTAAGATAATTATCCTGTGTTAATATTCCCATCTCCATTTTACAATGGTTCAAGATTTGATATTTTTGATATTTTATCATCTCCCAAGGAGGGGTATCTGGGGTTATCCAATATCATGACAGAGTTGCTTTAGTCTCTGTAAGGATATGTATAACCAAATATGTTTTACTCGTTGGCATTATGGGCCATCCAAGATGTAAAACCATTGATCTACAGGAAAAATCTATATCTGTCTCTATCTCTTCTTTACAAAATGTTTCTACCTTTTTCCATAGTTGACTTATTAGGACCACCAAATGTGGACATAATCTGCCCTGAGGGAACCACATCTCCAGCATTTATGCTGCGTATCTGGTTACATTTTTGCTAATTTAATAGGAACATAATGCCATCTATTAATAATCTTATAATATATATAATATATAATATTATAATAATCTTAAATGTCTCTCAGCTAAATTTAAACAGTGTATAGCCTTAATTACAGCATTATTTGCACTTATCCACTCTTTCCTCGTGATGCTGATTTGTAAGTCTTTTTCCCACGATTTTAATGCTGGAAACATTGGGATTATTTTGTACCAATTATATAATTTAGCACATTTTGAAACTAAATTTTTATTGTTTTTGATATTTATTATGTTCAGAAAATGTTTCTGATATGTCCCAAACCTTATGTTTGTTTTGGAAGTGCTTTATCCTCAGATATGTAAAGTTCTCTCTATAAGGGAGAGGGAATTTGTGTCTAATTTCCTCAAAGGGTATAATCTGGTTATGTTGCATTATCTGATCTATTCTGTTGATGCCATTTGCCATCCAAGTATTAAGGTTCGGATCTTCAATATTAGATGTCAGAATACTCACTGGCAGGTCATCTATAATTTTATCTAATATCTTAAATCTCTTTTTCCAGTTTTTCCACTGTGAGAATAAATTATTTATGACTAAACCATTATTTTCTTTATCTCTCTGATACAGTACAATATATTTTTAAAGTCAAATAATCACTAAATTAATGCATCTGTCCCTCAAGATTAATACATTATACCAGAACTGAACGACTTGGCAGTAGCTAGAGGCCAAAATTAAAATGTGTTCGGGCCGCAGATAAGTTTTTAGCACCTCACTTTCCAAGTAAAGGTATAATTAATGATTAAACTATTTGGCAAATAAACTGTATTATAAAAAATGACTTAGCTAAGTGGTACAAGTTTGAATAAATTTTCCAGGTTTTCTTACCATTATTGAGATGCATTGCACTTCTTGTCAGCAATCAGTTTATCGTACTCCGGAATCATGTTGGAAATCAATGTTTTCCAAACTTCCCCTCTGTATCTCTTTGTCTCCCTTTCATCCCATGTCTGTTTCTTTTGTCTTCCCCAGCTTCTGTCTATCTGTTTTGCCCCATGCCCAGGCCCTGTTTATCTATTTTGCCCCTTCCACAGCTCCTCTTTGTCTCTTTCTCCCCTTAGCCCCTTTGTGTATCTATTTCTTCCCAATCTATGTTTTTTGTGTCTCTTTCTCCCCTTCCCACCCCCCTGTGTATCTCTTCCTCCCAGCACCTTGTCTCTTTTTCCTCCCATACCCTCTGTGTCTCTTTGTCTTCCACCTAAGCCTCTCTGTGTCTCCCCTCAGCCCATGTCTGTCTCTTTTGCCCCTTCCCTAGCCTCTGTCTGTCTCTTTTGCCCCAACCCCTCTGTTTCTTTGTCTCCCGCAGCCCCTCTGTGTGTGTCTTTCTCCCCAGCCCCTTTAGTGTCTCTTTCTTCCCTTCCCAGCCCCTCTGTGTGTGTCTTTGTCCCCAGCATCTTGTCCTTTTCTCTTCCCAGCTCCTCTGTGTCTCCCCAGACTCTCTGGGTGTATCCCCTCAGCCCCTTATATGTCTGTTTGTGTACCTCCTCAAGCCCATTTCTATAACATCTGCCCCCTTCCTTAACCCGTATGTGCCTATGTTTCCCTCCATCGCCTATTTATCTATTTTGCCTCTTCCCAAACCCCTGTATGTCTCTGTGTGTATGTCCCAGCCCCTGTTTGTCTCTTCGGCCCCTTTTCCAATCCCTCTGTGTCTCTTTGTGTGTGTGTCCCAGCCCCTGCCTGTCTCTTCTGCCCTTTCTCCAATCACCTGTGTCTCTTTGTGTGTATCCCTCAGCCCCTGTCTATTTCTCCTCCCACCCTTTGCCCGCTCACCTCCCTCTTGTAGCGTGGCCGCACTGGAGAAACTCCTGTGACATCTTTCTGGTCTGACAGGAAACTATTCAGTGCTCCCTGTGTACACTTCATGTCAGACCAGAGAGAGGTTACAGAAGCTCCTCTACCACAGTCCGTGGCACGGCCATGCTATAATGAGTGACTGGATGAAGGGAGTGCTGTACTCTGTGCTTCCCTCCTGAATCCTTTGGGCCGGTGCGCCCCAAAGCGCTTGTGCTATGGTAGTGCAGGCCCTGTCCTTACGGGCCATCCAAAATCCTGCGGGCCAAATGTTGTACAGGTCTCCCTATATACACTTGATAATATATATTTTTTTGGTTTCTGCAGATTAAGCATTCTATCATCAGATCAACAATGCAATAAAATGTAATTATCCTTAATAACATAAATGACCAATCAGGCAATGGAAGTTTTTCACTTAACCTTGAACTGAAGAGTTAGGTACAAAAAGCTCAAGCTTGACTATAAGCACAGCTTGGCTATTTCAGTTTAAATTTTACAATTCCGTTTTCAATCCACTACAAACACACCAGATGTGACTCTGCAAATTAAGCTATATCATGTAGAAAGAATTAAACCCTTACATATGAACAATCACAACGTTGAAACAATGCTTTATGTAAATTTCTGATCAGATAAAAACACAAATTCTACACAAGGTCATATTAGAACTATTATATTCCTCATATTTTTATGATCAACTTATAGTGTGAGACTTTAAGGTATATCCTGTAGTCTTGGAAAATGCTTGATTAATACATGGATCCCAATACCTGTTGAGCAAGATCACTATACATTTTTTCAAAAGACAGAAAAATAATACTTAGCGCAACACTATAGTTTTCAGGAATACAATCATGTATTCCTGACACTATGGTTATAAAAAATACATTTTAGGTCACGCCCCTAGCCCGGTTAAAAAGTCAGATTTGACTATTGCAGCCAATCCAATATTTTCCCATAAGAAAGTATTGGGAGGCTATTGCGTAGGCACAGCAAAACACCACACTGCACCAATCAGCATCTCCTCATAGAGATGCATTGAATCAATGCATCTCAATGGCGAATGTTAAGCATGTCCATGCAGTGTGTGGTGACGCTGTACACCAGTGCTGCACACTGTGCCGCACATAACCAGGTGGCCCCTCTAGTGGCCATCTGAGTGACTGCTACCAAAGGTATTCCTAGGCACTAATCATGCCTACGTGGAGACCTAGAGGGAGATACCTAGAGTTAATTATCTCATTGAAATTACAGTTGGCTTCAAAAGACACACATTTGTATTCTTCACGTAATATACTTAATATACTTATAAGATGCTTATGCAATGGAACTAATCTCCCACACGCATATCAAAAACAGTATCTTACTCCAACAACTTATTGCTCCACAGATGTAGCATGGCAAGCAATTTCTACCACGTTAGGTGGAAGGGCATTCTAATTGAGTCATTTTAAGAAGAAGTGTTTTTTAATTTACTCCACATTAGTCACAAACATGGACAACGCTAGCAATGGTATTGTCTACCAATCTGGGTGTTGACTTGTGCTTCTTAGTTCTTTTCACTCTGCCAGGTTC